TGTAGATATATATGAAAGGTAAAAACAATGATATATAAATACAAAAACTGAAAACTTATAATTTTTTAATTTTTGTATTTTTTTTGAAAGCCAAGGCCAAAAAAGTCAAGGCCTCAAGACCTAAGCTCAAAGTTAGCATTGTGGTACATCTGCTAATGTTTTATCTAGTTCTATAAATAATTATAAATTTGTTGTTCAAATTACTACCATTTTTGTTATTACGTTTGTTTGTAGGTTAACAAATTAGCAGCATAATCTGCAAACTCGCTTATCCGGAATCATGGAGCAATTTCTTTATCAATTTCTTTGATTATGACTTCATTCAGAATAATTGAACTTCTTTTTGTAAAGGACATGACCTATAATGCTTGCATGTGAGATATATACATAATTACAAACTCAACTATTTCACTGTATTCACCAATGTCTAGTGAAAAATGAGGAATAGTATTCTTTTTGGAAATACTATAATAAGTGTAACAATTAGTAATTTCTTTTTTCAACTATAATTTGTTTAACTTAACTCACTGTTTCAGTAAATAATTATTGGTGGTTGAACTTGACACAGTTTACAAATATAAGTTTTAGGTATGAAATAAACCCCAGAAGTTTTAATAGATTTAGGTTACTGACAAATAACTTACCATATGTTTTAAGGAACTAACTTTAAAAAAATATAATGAGTGGTCCTATTTGAGAGAATTTAGTTTTGAAATTTTAAAAAAATTTCGTTATATTTTTTAGTATTTATAATGGTTAAACTACTTAATTTAGTATTTAAGTTAAAAGTAATACAACGTTTATTCCTATTGTTTTATTAACTATTATTTTCAAATTGTTAAATATTACAAAAAAATCTGTTTCACATTAAATACCAATATTAGTAACTACATTGCATAACTAGTCATATATGTCATATATGCTGTTCTAAACAGGGTGTGTGGGGGTGTCTTATCCCTCCGAAGCTGTTATTTATGCATTTGAGTTGACACATTTATACATTGTAGCATTTCAGTTTAAAAGTCTTAAAGTATAGTTGGGAAACGTTAAATATTGAGGACCTTATTCTTTTTAACTGTTGTGTCTAGTTAGCAAAAAACACATATGACACCACCCTCTTCCAAAAAGACCTCTTTGGGACGACCATGCAAACACACATATATACAAATATATACAAATATATATATATATACATATATATATATATATATATATATATATATATATATATATATATATGTATATATAAATATATAAATATATATATTTATATATATATATATATATATATATATATATATATATATATATATATATATATATATATATATATATATATATATATATATATATATATATATATATATATATATATATATATATATATATTTATATATATATATATATATATATATATATATATACATATGTTCGACCAGATCAAACTGAAAATGAAAGAATTGCTCTCTCTAAACTTCATGTTAAATGTAGAATTAGAAACAATGCTCTTCCAAATTCTTTTGTGGATTTGCAAGGGAGGCAACTCAATTGGACTACTAGAGATGGTAAAAAAGGATTTTGGTCTGTGCGATCTGGCACAATTCGATGGATCAAGCGCAAAGAATAAAACACCAAATCTAAAAAATTTAAACTTAAAACATCGACCAAATCAATCAGACATCACAAAGTTAATTATATCTATGACAAAGGTGACTATAATGCCATAAGTGAAGGCCTAAAAGCGATCAATTGGCCGAACTTATTCACAAATAAATCAGCAGATGAAAGCTTTGAATTATTTAAAAACATTTACATTTCATTGGTTGAACATCACATTCCCAAATATAATATGTCTTTTAATTTTAAAAAACGTGATCCAAAATGGTTTAATTCTACTATTAAAGCGGCAACTAATGAAAAATTTAGACTATTTATGAAATTACGCTGTTCTTCAAGCAAATTTAAAGATAGTATTCGAGTCTTGTACAACAAACAAAATCGTCTAGTGAAAAAGCTTGTTGCTGATGCTGTACTAAAGTATGAGAGTGAAGTCATTTCCGCTTGTAAGTCCTGTCCAAAAAAGTTTTATTCTTATATAAACAGCCAAAAGGCTTGTAAAAGTGAAATTCGATCTCTTTTTGACCACGATGGAGTGCAATTAGTAGATAATATGTCTATTGCAAATTGCTTAAATAATCTCTTTTTTAAAGCTTTTTTATTACCTGAAACTCACTCCAAAGCTCCTGATTTTCCTCGTAGAACCAAAATAGTTTGCTCACCAGTTTCTAGCTCCTTGTTCAATTGTTGCAATATTGAAAAACTTTTATCTGCTCTTGACTCTTCATAAGGCACTGGTAATGATGGAATCCATCCTAGAGTGCTAAAAATGCGCTCTAAAGAATTCAGTGTGCCTCTCTCTCTCCTGTTTATCAAATCGTTTGATTCTGGACAAGTACCGTCTGGTTGGAAACTGGCTAATATAACGCCAATATTTAAAAAAGGTCAGCGTACTGATCCTGGAAATTACAGGCCTATTTCCCTCACCTCAGCAATCGGAAAAGTAATGGAGAAAATAATGCGTGATGTCATGACTGATCACCTAATTAAGCATAATCTATTATCTTGCCATCAACACGGTTTTGTCAAATCTAGATCGTGTGTCACAAATCTTCATGAAGTAATGGATATTATTACCAAAGCTTTAAGTGACAGCTGTGCTGCATTGCTCATTTTGTTAGATTTTGCCAAAGCTTTTGATCGTGTATCACATCTTCTGCTTTATCACAAACTGGCTGGCTATGGTTTTGGCAATAATATTCTTGCCTGGCTCAAAGACTTTCTTGAAAATAGGAAACAGCGGGTTGTTCTAGGAAATTTCTCTTCCGAATGGAAGGATGTCCATAGTGGTGTACCTCAAGGATCAGTCATAGGTCCTCTTCTTTTTTTGATCTTTATTAACGACATGCCAGAATTAGTCAAAAATAATTGCAAACTCTTTGCTGATGATAGCCAGTTGGTTGCCAAAATAAAAGCAGTTACGGACTTGGCTTTAGTTCAAAATGATATTGATATGATATGTAATTGGTCAAGACTTTGGTGCATGAAACTTAGCATAAATAAATGCAAGGTTTTAAAGTTCCGTGGTGACTCCACAGACATCAATATCCTCTTGACAATGTTAGATAAAAATGGCAGTCAAATTCCTATTGAAGATGTATCCATTGAAAGACATTGGGTGTTCTGATACATAATAAACTGAAATGGTCAGATCAGATTAGTGATGCTACTCTTAAAGCTAATTCTATACTCGAGATACTCAAAAGAACTTTTAAAAAATGGAATCCAACTATGTTCGTGAAGCTATATACAGCATATGTAAGACCGATATTGGAGTACTCTGCACCAATTTGGTGCCCTTTTCTTCTAAAGGACATTAAAAAGTTAGAGTCGGTCCAACGAAGAGCTACCAAACTCGTTCCACAATTTCGCAGCTTGAATTACAAGAAACGATTAGCATATCTTGGTCTCAGCTCATTAGCTGAACGTCGAACAAGAGGAGATGTAATTCAATTTTTTAAAATTTATAAAAAATTAAATATTGTTAACTGGCAACAGCGGATTAACAGAGCAAGTGCACTCCTATGTGATGGTCCTGCAGGTCATCTTCGTGGTGCCAAGCATAAAATTGATCGAGAATTATCGAAAAACTCTCAAAGACATAACTTCTTTAGAAACCGAGTGGTGTCATCATGGAACGCTTTGGCTGCTTATTGTAATAAAATGTCCCCGTAAATAGTTTTTATGCAAAGCGAAAAGTACATACATCGACTGACAAATAGCCTGACTCGCAAGAGAGTGCTGCTACATCGACTAAGGGTTTGGTTTGCAAGGGTTTCAGGCAGCAAGTTCAGGCATAGATATAGGGTTAGGGTTAGGATTAGTTATTTTAATGTAAAACATCGTTTTTGTAAATATATACACAAAAAAAATAATTATAATAGATAATAATTAAATAAAAATAATAAAAGTATTTACAAAAAATAATTTTTTTTACGAAAATAATAAATTTAAAAACGAATAAATAAAAATTGAAAATATGAATAATTTAAAAACGAATATATAAATATATATAAATATATATATATTTATATATATATATATATAAATGTATATATTTATATATATATATATATATATATATATATATATATATATATATATATATATATATATATATATATATACATATATATATATATATATATATATATATATATATATATATATATATATATATATATATATATATATATATATATATATATATATATATATTGTTTATATATATTATATATATAATAGTATAGTTAATGTATATATAATATAAATAATAATATAAAAAAAAGACTTTTAATTGCTAAAATAAAATATATATTTTATTCTTACTACAGTCTATTCTTTTTTTTATTTTTATTTTTATTTTTAACAACAACACCATGTTGAGTAGCAGGACTGTCTTATTAGGTTTTTTTCTTTATTAAGTTTGAGACTATAATATTTTTTCAGGTCACTGCTTAAACATTACTCAGCAAAATTGCTTCTATTTGCTTTACCTGCCCTTTTTATGCTTTAAAAACGTAAAGATTGTTTAATTAACTTATTTATGTTAATTGAGATGCTGTGTCACAGTTCAATTTAATAAAAAGTTGCTTGTTGTTAATTAATAATCTTTGTGTTTATCCTTAAATTAGTTAGTTTTCTGAACAATTGATCTTTTTTTCAAAATTTTCAATCTCCACACTTTTAATACATCATACTTTTTACACATTTTATGACTTTTATACAATTGTGTTGGTAAATTTTTTTATATTAATGTTAAGTTGATAAATTTTTCAAAATTTTTTATAACTTTACTTTTTATTAACAACAAAAGACAAATTTTCCTTTGCCTCTTTTTACCCTTTTTTTACACATTTTGAAATTAAATTTTCTGTATTTAGTATCAAGAAATAATTTGTATTCCGATGAATTGTCCTCAAAATTTTGTGGTGAAGTAAGTTATATGATTGGAAGAGATTGGTTGCGATGGGAAGACACCTAGGCTTGAGTGGTTCAGATCTTGATCACACTGACTCTGATAATAAGAATTGTTATGAAAAAGCTGACAACGTTTTAAAAAAATGGAAGCAAAAAAATGGAGGTCTTTCATGGAAACAATTAAAAAAAGAGTTAAAAGGTTTTGATCGTTCAGATATTGTGAGAGAAATTGAAAAAAAACTTGGAGGTAATATTAAAATATATATATATATATATATATATATATATATATATATATATATATATATATATATATATATATATATATATATATATATATATATATATATATATATATATATATATATATATATATATATATATATATATATATATATATATATATATATATTTGTATATATATATATACATATATATATATATATATATATGTATATACATATATATATATATATATATATATATATACATATATATATATATATATGTATATATATATATTCATTTATATATGTATATATATATATATATTTATATATATATATATATATATATATATATATATATATATAAATATATGTATATATATATATATATATATATATATATATATATATATATATATATATATATATATATATATATATATATATATATATATATACATATATATATATATATAGATTTGTATGTATATATTACATATAAGTATATGTATATATATTTACATATATATATATATATATATATATATATATATATATATATATATATATATATATATATATATATACGTATAAATTAGAGATGTTCCGAAGCTACAATTTTGCCGAAGCCGAAGCTTCGGCTTAAGTAATACGTAACTTGTAACTCAATTTACTTCATCATAGTGATTTGGATATTCAAGCTGAATTTAAAAGTATATATTAATGTTTTAGATTTGTATATTTTGGCCTACAAGCCCATTTTAGGAAAATTATAAAACAAAACCAATGTTATAAAAAGTTTAAATTTAGAGAGTGAAATTTAGAGTCTTAACTATATATTAGTCTCTCTATATATCTAGCAAGTATTTGAAAGATTACATCGCTAAATCTTAAACATATACTGATACTTCAGGTAATCTATGGTCAATTTTTTGAAATAATTCATAACGAAGTAAACGCGTAAAATGTAAAAATATAAAAGTAGTCATTATTTTAATTTGAACATAAAATTTGGTATTTGTTTTAAATTTTGTTTAAAAGTTGAATCAGTTGAACTAAGAAGCTACAATCTATTATTTAGTTATTAATATTTTATTCAATGAAATCAGGCATATTATAATTTAAAAATGAAATCTGTTCTCCATGTTCGGGTAAAAGTCTGTTTCTTTTTGCTTCAAATATGTTTCCAGATGTGCTAAATAAGCGTTCACTTTTTACAGATGAAGGAGGCGCGCAAAAACTTTCTTTAAAAACTTTGACAAATTCAACTTGTAAGTATCTTTATCAGAGCAAGTATAACTGTATGCATACCACCACTTTTAAGGGCGTTCATTCTTTGGAAGTATTGGAAGGCTCAAGTAGAAATTGACTTTCTCGGTGCTGATACATAAAATATAGGTGATTATTTTAGGTTTAAATTTTTAAAATATTACCCTTTAATCATCTAATCAAAATAAAAAAACGCTTTTATCCGTCTTTTGAAAAACAAAAAATGGAGTTTGAGAGTAATTAAGAAAAAAGATGAAAAAAATCTCATTGTGATAATTAATATTGGTCATAAGCAATCAAAAATATAAAATGGCTATAGGAAATACGAAAGGAACATGATATATAAAACAGGATATAATTACCAATTTAGTTAAAACATTAAATGTATACAAACAATTTAAAAATCATAAATAGATTCTGTTTTCTTATCATTTTTCTTTGATAGTTAGAAGTTTTCCCATTGAACTTATGTTTGTTTGTTTTTTCACCGTCCTTTAGAATTTTCTGAATTTTGTAGAGCATACTTATTTGTACCGATATGATGGAACAGGTTATATATGCCCATGCTCATTAGTTTTTAATGCTTATTACTCTAGATAGAGTATTTTTTTAAACATATTTTGATTCTTGTCTTTATCAAACTTTAACTTGAAACGAGAATCAAGCATCATCGCGGTTTTTAGATCAGCTTTATCTTTGCATTTTTGAAAACGACAGTTAAAATCTTTCTTAAGTTGATTAACAACAGTTTTGATTTCAGTTGCCGTGTCACAAGCGTAGTCTAGAAACTTTTCTATTGCATAGGTAAATGGTTTAATCTCTGATATACATGCAGCTTTTTTATTCATGTCTTTTGTAGTACTTTCGAAGTGTTTTAATATGCATACAAGCATTTCAACAAGTTGCCATTGATTTTCCGTAGATTTTTTTGCATTTGTTTGATTTCTGGTAATGCAATACAATGTAATATCTTTTTTCTGCTCAATGAACCTCCCAAGCATATAGTATGTTGAATTTCATCTTGTTGAAACATCTTGAATTGTGCTATGCTCTGGCAATTTTAGTTGACTTTGAATTTCCTTTAGTTTAGCCACAGCACTAGATGAGTAGTGAAAATGTCCTGCTAATGCTCAAAAAATAGCTGTTGCATCACTTGCTTTTCTTTGTTCTCTAAAGATCTTTTTCTGAATACAAAGTTGTAAAGTATGTATCAGACATGGAAGATGTTTATCGCCCAAATTTGACTCTTTAATGGCAGCCATTAAATTAGCTGGCTTATCAGTTAAAACTGCATAAATTTTTTCATGGGGAATTTCCCATGATTGTAGCGCTTCATATATGAATTTACTTATATTGTGTCCTGTGTGCGACTCAGGCAAGTGTGTAACTTGTAAGATGACATGTTTAACTGTAAACTCTTGTGTTACAAATCTAGCAGTTAAACTGTAATACGATTGAATTGTGTGTTGACAGGTCCAACCATCACTAGGTAAACTTAGGAAATCTGCTTGATCCAGCTCATATTTAACTTTGGCTTTTATGGTGTCATACATCAGTGGAATGACTTTTGTGGAGAAGTACTTTCGACTTGGTATTGTATAGTTTGGAGCAAAATTATTTAAAAGTCGGGTAAAACCTTTATCTTCAACAATACAGTATGGTTGCAAGTCTAAACAAATAGTTTTTCTAATAAGCTTGGTAATAGCTTGAGCCTTGGGATTATTAAGTTGCCACAATTCTTTTCTTTGAAAAGTCTCCTGTAGTGAGACCTGAATTCCAAATTCAATGAATTAAAATTCAATTCAATGAACTAAAAAAAAATTACTTAGCAAACTCAATGAATTAAAAAAATTACTTAGCAAGTTGTAACTAACAATGGCCAGCGACGGATCAAAGTGACGGATAGAGGTATGTATTGTTCCCCCTTCATCAGAACATTTTTTATAATATTATAAGCTTAGGTAAGTTAAGTTAACTTTTTTCTATAGAAAAGGTAATTTTTTGACAAGACATCCCTCTATCCAGTCACAAAATCATGAATACTGAATAGTAAATGAATTTAGCTATAGTCATCTGAGTTACCAGTGTCGATGCTCTTTGAAAAAAGGCAATTGTGTTATTAGACACATGCGTGCTACCCTCTTTTTTTTTTTTTTTTTTTTTTTAATTTAATTTTGCCGTAGCAAGTTACAATTTATAAAATAACATAAATAATAAAACAAATGGCTGGAGCAAGAAGAAGACATCAGTTTGTCTTATTACCAAGCCCCATAGTGACTTCATTACAGGTCGTTTTTTACAACAAAAGATATAAAATCGTGATAAGTTGTTTGTGATAAAATATGTAAAAATGTGAAAAACTACGTTTTACAATTGATATAACTGTTTATATATAAATTCGTTTAGTAAAATAAATTTAGAACAAGTAAAAGTTAAAACAAATAAAAGAATTAAATTGTGCTAGTTTATTTTTTTACTAAAAAAGAAAAAGAGAATTTAAGGCCGTAGATAATAAAAAACGCTTTGATTCAGATTTGAACTGTTCAAGTGTATTTCTTTTATAGTAACAATCTGGGGAAAAATTTTCCACAAATAAGGTCCGCGGTGTTGAATTGAGTATGAATTTAACTTTAATGTAAATTTTGTGATGACAAAGTTGTTATATGAGAATCTAGTAGGGTATTTATGACTTATGTCGCTAAAATAGGGTTGAAATATCGGCGGAGATAGTCCATTTTTTATTTTGTACATAAACTGTAAAACAAGATGTATGTTAATTTTGTATATATTCAATGCTCCAAATTTGCATAAGAAAGGTTCACTAGACGCTTTTTTACTTACTCCGAATACAATTCTACAGGCATGTTTTTGTTTACTGTTGAGTTTTTTAAGCTTAGTACAGTTTGTGCTTGCCCAGGCCATGTTACCATAGGTTAGATGACTATGTATTAATGAAAAGTATAAAATTCTTAAGGAAATGATATTTAGGAAAGGTTTTGCTTTATACATTAATGAAATATTTCTTGAGAGCTTTCTCTCTAAAGTGTTTATATGGAGCTTCCACAACAAATTTTCATCCAAGACCACACCTAGAAAGTCTATAAAATTTTCTCTTTTTATATTAGTATTATTTATTTTAAGATCAGGTAGTTTAAGAGAAATATTTTCGTTTTTATTTGGTTTATGAAATAGGATGAATATAGTTTTTTTGACATTCAAAGAGAGTTTGTTACTCGTTTATTTTATGTAATTCTTTGTTAACTATGTTAAAAAGTGTCCTAATGTCTCTATGCGAATAAAACAAATTGGAGTCATCCGCAAACAAGAATAAATTTAATAAGTTTGATGTTGAATATAAATTATTTATATAGAGTAAAAATATTAATGGTCCCAAGATTGAGCCTTGGGGAACCCCGCAAGTTATGGCGCTATTTGTTGTTTTTGTTGTTTCATGCTGAATATATTGCTTTCGGTTTGATAAATAATCTTTAAACCAAAGTTATTATTTTTTACTCCATACACTTCGAGTTTTTTTAAAAGAATATTGTGATTTACGGTATCAAAAGCTTTAGAAAGATCAATAAAAACTCCTAGCGTAAAGCAATCATTACTAAAAACATTAGATCTTTGATTAACTAGCTCAAATATAGCATGGTTGGTTGAGTGGTTTTTTTTAAATCCAAATTGTTTACCGTATAAAAAATTGTTTTCCGTCAAATAATTGTAAAGTCTATTATACATGACGCGTTCTAGTAATTTGGAAAAACGTGGTAAAACTGATATAGGTCTATAATTACTAGTATCAAAATCATCTCCAAATTTAAAAATAGAGGTGATTCGATCAATTTTTAGTTTATCCGGGACAATGCCTGATTTTAGCGAAAGATCGAAGATGTGGTGCAATGATGGTTCAATGATATCAAATACTAATTTTACGACAAAGCTACTGATATTATCAAAGCCCGCACTTTTGTTGTTTTTTAGATTGTTTGATAAAGTGGATCGCAATTCATTAGAATCTAGATGTGTTTCTTTCATAATCTTTTTTGTGGTAAGGTTCTTAATCAAGTAAGAATGAAATGTTGCAGAACTCGACGGAATTTCTGCTGCTAAATTGAGACCCACATTAAGAAAAAAGCTATTTAGATATTCAGCTATTATTATTTTATCACTGACTAACTTACCATCAAGTAAAAGCTTTTTCGGGAGATTGTTTTTTGTACAGTCATTATTACCGATTATCTCTTTAACCGAATTCCATGTTTTCTTAGCATTGCCAAAGTTGCTCAACTCTCGTGCGCTATGTTTTTTATTACTTAAACTCCGGAGGTTTTAGTTACATCAAAGTAATTTCAAATGATGATTTATTTCAGGTTTAATTTTTAATTTTAATTTAATATTAAAAAACTAGCTGTCAAAACCAGTAAAAAACGGGTCTTTAGGATATTGATGCGCACATTATTCTCGTGATTACAACTCATTAGAACTCTTATCCGACTTATGATGAAAGGAAATCTCAATTGAATGAAGATATCTTTCTAAATAATAATTTTTATTGTCTTAGATGCGAAGATTAAACTTTTTGATTGCGTAAACACTAACTCTAACATAAATGGCAATCGCATGACATTTTTTGCAACTTTTGTCAAAATTTAATGGTGACTCTTGAATCTTAAAGAATAGGGGGAGACGCTTATTTTAAAAAAAAATTTCTACCCATTCCAAGCTTAGATTGCACACCAACCCTTGTTGATTAATTTTTTCTTATCAAGCCTCCTAAAAAATAAAAATTGAAAATTGACTTTTTTTTTAAATTATAAAATATTCTAATTAAAACTGAGAAAATTGTTATTTTAATAAGTAATAAAAACAGAAACTTTTAAGGTAGAACCAGTTTTAAAACTCATCGACCTATTAAATCTGGATTTGTCGAAAATTTTATTTCTCACTTAAGTATAAAACTTATATTAGCAATTCAAATCTTATTTAAATTAAAACAGATTTTAAAAATGTTTATGTGACTAGTTTAAAATGCTAAGATTTTTTTTAAGATTTTTTTTTTTTTGAATGTATATTTGATTTAACATTAAAGACTTCACAATTTATGATTCGTTACAAAATCATGTCACTGATTTAAAATAGCCAGTCTAAAAGTAACAACTACGTAGATATTATTACAATATTTATTAACAATCATTAATGAAATGTTATTCCAAAAAAAATAGGTAATAAAAGTAATTAAAGTTTATGGTAAAAAAATGCTACAAAGATAAAACTTACTTTGACATAATATTTGGTTGTTAGAAGGTCGTATTATATTTATTTAAAAGCCAAAAAAAAAAGTTGGTTTTTATAACAATTAAACTAAAATTAAAACTAAATATAAGCAAAATGAATTTACTAAACTTAGCTCCTAATGGATGATTAAAAGTAATTAGCCTCATCAATGAAACGATCTAATAATCATTTTCCACAACGGACACCAACGTGAAGGTGAGCTAAGGAGTCTATCAAAAAAATATTTGTGCTTTTCTATTAACATATGAAGCACATTTTAATTCTGTCATGTCATGTAAATGTCATGAAACAACTGGTTTTGCAGTAAAAATATCCAGTATCAAAGACTGGTTTTCAAACCAGTATCAAAGACTGGTTTTTTAACCAGTATCAATGACTGGTATTTATTTCAGGATTAAAGACTTTTTTTTTAACTAGTAGCAAAGATTGGTTTTCTAACCAACAACAAAAACAGTAAGTCAAAAATAACATTGGTTGTGTTGCTATTTGTTAAAATGTAGTGTTTCTAATGGTAAAACAAAAGTAATAGTTTATAAATTGAGTTTATTTGTAAATACAACATTTTGTGTGTAAAATTTGTTTAACGACATACTTTGTAATGAATGTTTTTCAACTTTAAAAAACAAACTATTAAACGATCTAATTCTTGAACATGCAACATATAATTGACCGAGTGAAAAGATGTAGTTTAACTAAAAGTAAATAGTAAAATATATGGAAAGCAAATAAATAAAAAAACCTAAAAAAAATAAAAACGAAATCGGTGACTTAATGAACAAATAAAGACGACTAAAATCAAAATAACTGAACAAATAAAAATATAAGCGACTTACTAAACACTAGCAGTAAGCAACCCGTAATACGGGTTAGTATTAAATTATTCATTACTAACAATTTGATTTTTATTTATTTTCTCTAATGAAATATCAATTCATTTATACATTTTTTAAGTTGTGCTCACTTTTATTTTTCTTGGCTTCTTAGTTTAAGAAAACTCTTAGCTTCATTAAAGTTAACCATTTCTTTTGCAATGTTCAGACATTGAATGCGCAAATCACAACAATGTAAAGTTAATATATGACTTGAATTATATGCACAGATCATCGATGTCAAATTTCCTGATTCCGTAAAATTGTTTAGGTAAATATTCCGAATATATTTTACTCTTAATTTTGCTTCAAGCGGAGTCGTTTCTTTTTTCTTCAAAGTTTTCATTTTACTGAGTGAAGAGCTTAAAAATATCACTAATATTGCACCTAAACTTCTCAATATTTTTAATATACTTTTTAAACATTTTTAAAACACCTAAAATATTACACCAAAACTTGTAGGCATAGAAATTGAATATCCGGAAAAATCGAAAAAAAGTTGATATATATATTTCCGCATTTCCGGAAAGGGCTTATCCCTGCATTCGGATCCTATATTATT